GAAAGTTTGCCCATCACCTTTTTACTGTTAGAAATCCGGTAGTCCACGCAAAACCTCCAACTACCATCATTTTTCTTCACCAACAGGACATGAATGAAAAAATGGCTCACACTCGGCCTGATAATCCAAGCCTTAAGCATCTCTCAGATCAGCTTCTTTGTCTCTTCCTTCTGAATCTGGAAGTATATGTATGATCTGAAGCCGATGGGATAAACACCCTCCTTCAATGTAATAGTGTGCTTGTGCCCTCAAAAGAAAAACTTGTTTGGCGGTTGGAAGACATCCAACTACTGTAGGAGTTGCTGGACCCCATTCGGAAACCACCAACTCTAACTCTCGAATCTACTCAATGCTTTGCAACTCCACCAAGTAACCCAGCCATGCTCCCCAAAATAGCTTGACCACAGTTTTGAGTGACACCATGATTTTGCATAAGCTAGCATCTCCTCTGAGCATCACTTTCCTACCCTCTACTGGAACTCCATCATCAAGAACTTTCAATCCACCTTCATTTCTTCCAATGTTCGCAGTCATTTCATCCCCAAAATCACATTTGTGCTTCCCAAATCTAAAGGAAGAAAGTCTTCCACCACATGTAGGTCATGTAGTGTCAGACCCAACCCCTTGCAAATTCCCCAACTTTTCTCCTCCCTCCCTGTCTCCATCATGATGTCGAAGCTCCCTGTAGTCACCAGCTTCTCCACAACCTGATTTGAGATAAAGTTGTGTGACCCGGCTATCCACCAACACCACAATCGGTTGTTCCCCGATCCATCCCCACACCTTTATGGTGTGATTCAAAGTAAATCACACAGTCAAATTGAGCGACACCTCCGCCACATCCAAATGAAGATGCTCCTTCTCCACCGCTTCCTCTTCTGATTCCTCACTTTTTGTATTCTGAACCTGAATGGTGCGCTCCTTACAACGATGTCCTGGTGTGTATTTCTCATTCTTTTGTTCTTTTATCCTACACTCATGCATCTGTGAGGCGCTTGAAACTACCCCCAGGACGAGGTCCTGTATTCTTCGACTTCGGCGTTGCTTTCTGAAATGACATCATCCAAGTCCTTAGTGTTGTGGCTGTCACAGTGCCCTTGTGGAATCCTCCAGCATTACTGCTTTTACTGATCTTTGGGACGAGGTCCTGTATTCTTCTACTTCGGCGTTGCTTTCTGAAATGACACCGTCCAAGTCCTTAGTGTTGTGGTTGTCACAGTGCCCTTATGGAATCCTCCAGCATTACTGCTTTTACTGATCTTTTTCACCTATTCCTTATCCTCCATCATCTAAGCAATCTCATCATTTTCTTCAATCCTCGCGGTTTTAAGGGGCAGATGGCTGCTCGTATGTTGGATTTTAGGCTCTTCAAGAAGTTTTCTTCCAGTCCTGCTACAGAAATCCCCCTCAACTTCTCTGAGAAGAGCTCGAGCTTCTCTCGATATTCCATAATCGTCCCCTCCCGAATTAGAGCATTGAATTGCTCATGTAAGTCTCCTTCCCGAATGGCTCAGAAACATTCCAACAAGCAATCCTTAAACTCCTCCGATAAGTGTATCAGATACCTTGCCTCCATCCATTGGAAGAGTTCGAGCTTCTCTCGATATTCCACAATCGTCCCCTCCCGAATTAGAGCATTGAATTACTCATGTAAGTCTCCTTCCCGAATGGCTCGGAAACATTCCAACAAGCAATCCTTAAACTCCTCCAATAAGTGTATCAGATACCTTGCCTCCATCCATTGGAACCACGCTAAAGTCTTTCCCTCCAAGCATAATCCAGCTGTTATGAGCTTCTCTTCCTCCGTCAACCTATTGATTACAAAGTATCACTCCACCCAATACACCCACACATGTGCATCCTCCTCTTTGAAGATAAGCATTTTCAGCTTTCTGACACTTGTATCTTCACCCAAACCTCCTCTTCCTCTAGTATTTCTCCTCCATGTATCTAGGGTGGAACTCCCCCATCCGGTCATAGGCATACCCCACTCCCGATTCCCTCCTTCCTCCATCGTGATCTTTCCTGCCCCTTACACCATCCCTCCAATTTTCGGCCCATCTCACCCAAACCTCCTCTTCCTCTAGTATTTCCCCTCCATGTATCTAGGGTGGAACTCCCTCATCCGGTCATAGGCATACCCCACTCCTGATTCCCCCCTTCCTCCATCGTGATCTTCCCTGCCCCTTACACCATCCCTTCAATTTTCGGCCCATCCCCCTCCATTGGAAATTTCCACTTCCCCCTCCTCTCAGAGTCCAAGGGGAACACTGTTGTACGTAAATGATGTCTTCTTCATTGTCTTCTCATTCAATCTCCTTCCCTTTTGACCAGAGCAAGGATTCTCCAATCACCCATTGGTTAGGGCTTGCAACTGGAGAAATCAGCACACCCTTAGATTGCATCTTCATGAGTTTTTTAATCATCTCCCGCATTTATCCTATGCTCTCGAACCCATCCCCCATTCTACTTTTAATAGAAGAAAACTTGTCCTCCATGATGGCGAACATTTCTTCCATTCTCGAACTGATTTTCCCTATATCTCCTTCTAACACACCCACTTTCTTTGTTGTTATCTCGCCAAAATCAAAGCTCTGATACCATTTCGATACGCCTCAGAACAAAAATCAGCAAACAAATCACGATGAAACATCAATAAATAGGTGCAAACAAGCCAAATAAGGGCTGCTCTTACGAAAAACTAATGCAAACAAGCAAGATACAAAAGATTATATACTTTCGAGAGGTGGATCGATTTTCCCACACCTTAGACATCGTAAGGAACAACACCAGAAGAAGAACAACCAACAAAAAAATGCCTACCAAAAGCAAACCCTAGGTTCCCCTCAATAAAATCCCCTCATATTATTTCAAAAACTTTCCTTCCTAACATTTCCTCCACTCCTTTAATTTCTCCTTCTTGCATAGGTGATTATGGCCCTAGTAGACCCCACCCATCCATTTCCTTCTAATGCGGCTCTCCCTGTCTGCTCCACTTCTTCCCATGTCAGCTCTGCTTCTTCCCATGTCTGCTCCGCTTCTTCCCGTCGCCCAAACCGACTCGCCTGAGGCCAGTTATAAAGCTTCCAGCCAGACCGACCAGCTCGTGCATGGGCGTAACAACATGGTCCGAGAAAGTTGCATGATTTGCATGGGTTTAATATAAGTTTAAATTAAAATATGATCAGCATCAAGAAGCATACACCATCTTAAACTTTGCAAAATCTCTTCTTTTCAAGATTAAATCAAAATTTATTAAGCATGCTCTTGAGTAGACCGCCTTTTGCATAAAAGAAGTTTGTAATTCCCACCTTTGTCAATCCAAATTCTCCTCCTCAAAAGAATCGGAGTTGAAAATACTTGGTCTCCACCTAGCAAGTCTAATCATCCTCCGAACAGGAACCGAAGTTGGCATAACAGTACTACCTAACATGTTTGAACCTCTTGCAGACAAAGATTGTCTTTAAAAAAACTACGTAGATATTGAATTTTAATCTTACTCAATAAATAGGGATATCTTATCTAATATCTACATGAAAGTACCAAACATTTATTATGAAAAATTTAACTAAAAATAATATTTTCAATATTACTATATTCTCTTAAGTGTGTAATGAGTTTAACTCGCAAGTTTGATCCTCTAAATATAAGCATGAGATGCCAAATTTTGCATTGTAACAAATGTTTGAATAAAATTAACACTACAAACCCGTTCCTTTATGATGTAAAGTTTAAGCAGTCAAATAAAATTTCCGGAGATAGTCGTGTTGGAAGTCAATCTCAACCAGAAAAATTCTTTATTACTAAAATGCATTAATTTCATATACTAATCACTTTCAACTAAGATCAAAATAAACTATAAAATATTTCAGGAATATTATAAAATTCAATATGCTTAAATGGAATCCTGTAACCTAAAGCTAATGAGCAAATAACATGCACCTTTTAGACTAATTTATCAATGGCGATAAATATAAAATTAATCCCAGCTAACAAAAAACAAATATCATATCAAATATGTTACAACATCAATCCAGTATAGGCATAACCTATGTCCTAACTCCGCATAAATTAGCTAATTAACTCTGCAAAAAAAAAAAAAATTGATTGCAACTTGAACCATCCCAGAAGTCTCCATTACAGGCATAACCTATGTCCTAACTCAGCGTGAATTAACCAATCAACTCCATACAAAAAAAAAATTGTGACTTGAACCCTCTGACTGAGCGGTTTAGCCAGAAGTTTCCACTATATTATGTTTACAATTATAGCATGCATATTCCTCAATGGTATTCTATCTCTTTGGGGTGTAAATCATAGTATATTTGATATGGCACAAAGTCTATTGTTAGCTAAAGTCGACTTAAATTTACAATTTAGACAAACAACCACGCCGAGTCAACCGTCTCTTTAGACAAAATAATTTATGACTACCAACAAAAATCCTTCTGTCAAGTTGAGTGAAATAAGTCTTTTTGCCAAGTAGATCAATGTTAATAAAAAACAAGAACAATGAAATTATGTGATCTTAATCGGATTTATCACCATTCCCCCCACCATCTGTTCTTAGGTCATGACGGTAATGTCTACAACTTTAAATCCTAAATTTATTAATATTGCATGCTGAGTAATCAACGTTGTAATGACTAGTCTTAATTGAAAATCTTCTCCCATTATCAAGAGGGATAATTAGCAATAAGAGTTTGTGCATACCGAAAATTTCAAACCTCAAATCCTAAATTCCTTGTAAAATAAGGGTGAAATCTTTGAGTAGTATCTTATCTAGTTCAGCATTTGCTTTCTAAAGATTGGACCCGAAACCTAAATGTAAAATTCTCTCATCATCATTATAAGGAAGATCAGGGCCTGAATATTTTAAGCCCACATTCAATAATGCTCTTTATCAATCAAATTAAACTTTTGAATTGATTAGTTTCCATTTATTAATACATCAAACACCTTAGATTCTACTGCTCTAAGAGAAAATTTGAGGAGCTTACCACTTGTAAAGGCACAAGTTAATCCCACGGCAAAGCTGATGCATACAGTGAACAGACCCAGTAAAATAAGGTTTATTGGATGGCGCTGGTAGTAGTTGTACAGAGGGCACATCACTGAAAATTTAACAAAACAAAAGGTTATCTTAAATCCTCAATCCAATAAAAAGAACTGAATTTTATATGGCAATTAAACATTAAAATGAAAATGAAAGTTTAAAAACAGAAACAAAACTTGAATTCCCTATCAAAAAGATCCAGCAGACAGTCGGAAGATCCCTAACAGACCCATAACAGATGAAAAACATAAAAAAAGAATCACTTTTAAGGGCTCTCATATAGTAAAATTTATCACCTCAAAAGAATGTTATAGTCTATAACCAGAAGATAACAAAGCCTAGTAAATTCCAACAAATCAACGAAGGGAAAACATTTAAAAGCGCCGGAAAACCGCGGCGAAGTTAATCGACCAAGAATGTGATCAGCGAAAATAAATATCAGAATCCAAATAACCAAAAAAACGGCTGAAAAACAAAAATAATAATAAGTTTCACAACCAGAAAGGGATGTAGAAGGACATACAAATGAAAGGCGAAATTATCAGTAAAATGTACAGGCCGACTCCAGCGCTTGAAGCGACAAAGAAATGGGAGATGGGCTTGACGGAAACAACGAGGGCCGATACTGCGATGGTGAGAAGCAACTGGATGGAAACGATAGTGTAGATTTTTCGCACAAACGCCCACCGCAGTTCCGGCCTCTCCAGCATCATTGGGTAAAGCGGCCTTGTTACGTTGCCCTCCTCAACATCGCCGCGATGCCAGTACGGGGGCTTCATCCAACTCATCTTCCTCCTCTGGTTTTGATCGAAGAGAGGCTAGGTTTAGCGCAAGGGTTTGGATTTCAGATGTGAGGAACGGAACGCGAAGGAAGAAAATAAGCGCAGGGGGGGTGGTTCTCTGGTTTTCTCTCGAGGATTCATGATTTTACCAAAGAAATCGTGTTGAGTACGACACGATATACACGTGTGTGTCACTACACGAAAAATATTACCCGAGGATGTGATAAATGCAGATTACAGTGTGGATCAGAAGAATATTATGCGAGGATGTGATAGGTACAAATTAGATATGCATCCATAATATATATATAATATTGGGGTGACGGCAGTGATATTGTAGTGATATTGAGATAATATTGAAGTTCAATGAGGTGATATAAGTGGTTGGCATAATATTGAGGTGATTTTGAGATACAATACCACCCCAATATTACACTTGATGTTGAGGTGATTTTTGAGTTTTATGTTTAAAGGAAGCCTACATATTTAGCACACAACATCTCGCATCTAAATGTTTGTATTTACATAAATAACAGTGTTGTTTTACACTTATTATGCGAAAAAAACATATATTTCACTTTTAAAAGTAGTAATAATGATTTGAGTGTATTTTTAAAACACATGTATTCTAACTATTATATATATTTAATGTAGCCGTTTAAATACATTATGTGCGTTGAGTTTAAAAAAGTAGATGGACGTAAGAAAATTCTCATTGTTTCTTAGCACCTAAGCAAAAATGCATCGTGTCATACAATTATGTAGATGGAGAATAACAAAATGTCGGGATGCGAGTTCTATAACTATAAGTAATTTAATTTAATAATAGAAATAGCATTCATTTTTCCTTAGTT